TAAATTTTTTTCTTGTCTTTACTTCAGAAATGTTGTCATCTTGCTTGGTTCAAAATTTAAAGTCAATCCTTTCAATAATAAAAAAAGTATTTAGCATTTTCATATCTGTCTGGACAATCGTCAGGACAATGTCTAAGTTGGTCAGGGCAAGTTTTCTAATTCTTACAAATATTTTTTTTAAATTTTTTTCTTGCATTTATTTCAGAAATGTTGTCATCTTGCTTGGTTCCAAATTTCAAGTCAATCTTTTCAATAACAAAAAAGTATTTAGCATTTTCATATCGGTCAGGACTTTGTCAGGACATTGTCAGGACATTAGTGTAACCCGAAAATACCCCCATGTGTGTAAACCGGTCTCACTAATTAGCGACAACAAGAATTTTAGCCACAAGAAGCGTCAACAAGCGACAAGAAGCGACAACAAGAATTATTTTAGCGACAAGAAGCGACAAGAAACTATTTATATAATTAGCGACAAGAAAACATATTTTTTTTAATTAAAATTAATTATTGCAATAAATATTAAAAGAATATGCAAAAGAAAATAATTTTAGCGACAAGAAAGTTAAAATTGATAGAAAAAAATGAAACATTATTTACATAATATTTTATCATCTATTATGTATAACAGCCAGTATTACGTTTAATTATTGTATTATGAGATTACTTTTCCTTGTGTTTTAGAACATATTATTTATCTTATAATTTGTTTTTTAAAACTCTTTTCGTGCAATATATATTAAGCTCGCAAAATGAATTATTTGTGCATCATTGTCCTGAAAATATTGACACAAATTGTGAAATACAAAGAACTGAAATCAAACAAGAGGAAAAGAAAATTGAAATGTGAATGTTTTCATCTTTTTATTTGTTTATTGCCTCATTAAACGATATTTATCATGTTTATGCATATTGATTGAAGATGAAAGGAAATTAATGACAATCTTGAGTTTTCAACCGAGGTGTTCACTATTTACATGATTGTATATTCTGGCGCGTGTAATTGTATAGTCTGACGCGTGTACAAAGTTGAAGGTGTTAATTGGATGTTATTGTAGCAATAAAACAGGGGACACACGCCTCGTTAATCTCATTTGATGTTCCACATTGTGTGTACTGTTATTACCTTAGGGTGAAGCCACATCTAATGTTGTTCCTATCAAGAACAATGAATTATACTGTTAGAAAGGAAATTATATTTCATGTTTTTGTTTCAATAAATCCTTCAAAGGAAAGTTGACCTTTTTTTGTTTTTGTTTCAGTTTTATAGAGTGTGCATTTCCTTTGCTCTACCAAGCTGACTGAAGCCATTCAACTTTCATGTTTAGTATAAAGTAAATTGTCAGCATTTCAGTATTATTCTCGCAAAAGTACGTGCTCTGTGCAATTGCTAGAATCTAAAACGCAACTCGGTTTACCTTTGATTAATAAATCAGTTACTTTGTACGTCTTTGATACTGCGCGGTATCAAACGAACCCTTTGGTACAGGGTTTCAATTTCCTTTTGGGCAAGGGAAAAAAAGGTTACGACTCGAACTTCGATAAATGCATATTAGAAGTATTATAATTATACTATAGTGGACACGTCCGTTCATGATATCCCCTTGGGCAAGGGTAAATATTGAAACACACTTATTTTGTCACATCGCCGTGTCAAACTGAATCCCTTGGGATAAGGGTTTTCCTCTTGGGCAAATGAAATAGTAAGGGAAGTTATACCCTGCAATATTAGTCTTACACTCTAAAAATGGCACACCCATGTGGTAACTGTTCAAAAAACTGCACTCGAATGTGTGTGTTTTGTGAAAAATGTGAAACATGGTTTCACCAAAAAATGCCAGAAATTAACAAAAGATCAGTTTCGGATCTTAAGTCAGACTAAAAGCTGTGATTTCATATGTACACAATGTTGTCATACAAAAGATCATAAATTTGACTATGTTCTTTCTATTAGTAGATTAGAAGCTTATGCAAGTAAAAATTTGTTGACGGATGGCGTAAATGTAGAGAAAATATTGCTAAGAAAAGAACCACTAACACAAATTATTGGGGAGACAAACCATTAATATTCTGCAATGAGCTCTTTGGTTGAAGACAGGGTTTCTAGACAAATATTAAATGAACAAAGCATCATTATCCTACTATAAGGGATTACGTGTACAATGCTCGAAAAACAGAGTCGAGAATTCCATTGCAATGGAAAAAACAATAATTGTGAATCAATCAATCACATCTTGAAACTAAATCAAGATTGGAAGCCTGAGAAACTTCCAGAGTTAATTAATAAAATTCACAAAGAAATAAAGTTGCAAGAAAGTCTTGTCAATGGCGCACTTTATGGACATGGAGACTTTGAGCTAAGCTCCTCAGTAAGCCATTTTCAATGCACAAAAGCTCTATGGCAGATTAAATCGGAGAAAGAAAAGGCTTTTGCATTGCAAAAATTCTTGACTCATGGGAGAAAGTTAAACGCAATCCCAGAGTCCACCACTTCAACAGATGGTGGGCTGACAATCCCCAAAACAAGTGCATGTGCACGTAAACCTTGCCAACGGAAACGTATTAAAAATGCTAAAACTACAACTTCAAAAAGGGCCAAAAATACAGTGAACCTTAGTGGTAAAAATCTACGGCTTATCAAAATGGGACCACCATGTACAAAATGTATAAATATTATGTTAGATAGGAATGTACATATTACTATATAATGACTAAAAATAATTAAAAAAAAAAAAAAAAAAAAATTATATGGACCCCAAGGTAGAACCACGTCCTCGTCGTGGGGTCTGGATACACGCTTAAATAATAAAGATGGCAAAACGTGGCTGAGAGTTCTACAAATAAAGCATCGAATTGACATAACAAGAGTACACTTAGAGCATAGTATTAAGCAAATGAATCAAAATATTATATTCTATTTAGCCCGCTCCATATATATCTCCATTCGTTTATTCATACTTTGACTTGGATGAAACAGATACATACTTGTACTAAAACGTTGAGTGGAGTGGAGTGGAGTGGAGTGTTGGAGTGGAGTTGTGGAGTGGAGTCGTGGAGTGTTGGAGTGGAGTCATAGAGTAAAAACATGGAGTGGAGTGGAGTAAAGGATTTTGGTTAAAATTCGAACGAATCCACAAATCAGTCACACTTCTCAAAATGAAAATCATTTATAATTGGGTTTTTTTCTTCTTTTTTTTTTAAATTGCAGAACAAGATGATTTTATATTATTTCATTTGTCATATTTTGATTATTCATCAAAGTTGGACAATGTTTTGGGTAGCATTTTATGACAGCTCAGTTTGAAGTGTGATAATGTTGTCTATCTAGTAATTATGCATAAGCGACCATACATCCTCCCTCCTACATTAAACCAATTGAAGGCATTTGCTCCTTTGTGCCTCTTGTTTTGATACAAGTGGGACCACAATCTCAACCTCCATTTATGGCAAGTGTATTGCACAAAAACATTTTGTCTATGTGGACGACAATGACAGACCAATACCATAATAGAACCATATAAAAAATAAACTTGCCTTTCTTTTTTTTCTTCCGATATTCCACTGACAGCCTCTGAATAACTTTTCTTGAACATGTTGCTGTTCTGAATCAGAATCTAGCAATGGCTTATGGTACAGCAAGCCTTTCCATAGGTTCACATTCTCATTTGATAAAATTTTTATGCCCCACCTAGGGGCATTTTGTTTTTATGTCTGTGCGTCCGTTCGTCCGTCCGTCCGTTCGTCCGTCTGTCCCGCTTCAGGTTAAAGTTTTTGGTCAAGGTAGTTTTTGATGAAGTTGAAGTCCAATCAACTTGAAACTTAGTACACATGTTCCCTATGCTATTCCCATGAATTTGATGTGCTACATTTCATGTGAATGACAAGATTCTTAAATATTGAAATGTATAAAATATCATTAATTGATCATCGAATAAAACTATATAATTTATGTCAAACAGACAAAGTTTTGATTCTTGATTTAAAAATAATTTAAATTAATAATATATTGATCTCCATAGATACATAGATCTTTTACCAAATAAGCAAATTCATATCTTTTTCAAATGAAACATACAGAATCCAAGTGTTGTTTTTCTTGCAAAAGACTGTATTGTTTATGCTGTTGTTTTTGTATATAATTATAGTTTATAGCTTTAACTGCTTTGCAAGTAAAATTATTTACACCAGAATGTTGTTAACTAAGGTAAAATTGCTGAAAGACCCCCTCCTAAATTATAGAAATCTATCATCCAACATTAATCATAATATTTTTGGGTGTAAATAAGATACACCTACTCGGGCTAACGCCCTCATGGTGAATTTAACACATTTCGGGACATCTTTAAATGTGTGTACGACCTAGACTGCATGTTTGGAGATATCACCTTAAATCATACCTATCATGACACATACATTTGTACAAGGTGAATTATATTGGTACAATGTACATGAATGCAGTTGGAGTTGAACGTTGTTGGGACCAAACATCCAGATTAATTCTATGATTTTTAAAGCTATAAAAAAACATATCTTATAAATTGGTTTAATTTAAAAACAATTGATCCAACAACCCAACTACACTCCATTTCCTAACTCCATGTTTTCACTCCATGACTCCACTCCACTCAACGTTTTAGTACATGTCCATTATCTTATACATATTCTTCATATTTAAAAATAAAAAAAAGAAGCTCAATCTCTTTCTTCTTCACAAATGTTTAATTTCTTCATCTACCAATATACTAATATAAACTTCACAATCTCTTTCTTCCTCACAAATGTTTCATTTCTTCGTCTATCTATATAATAAAACATTTTAATTAGACATATCTGCTCGTATATTTAAAAAAAAAACATTAAATACAAATTTCTTTATATCTAATAAAAAAAAAATGTTTTCTTGTCGCTAAATAGTCTTCTTGTCGCTTCTTGTCGCTAAAATAATTCTTGTTGTCGCTTCTTGTCGCTTGTTGTCGCTAATTAGTGAGACCCGTGTAAACAAACAAAAACCCAACAAATAGAAATTATGGTAGTATGACATGTGGAACTGACTTGATTTGTCACCTCCCAATATATCATATGACCCAGAAGTAAATTATTCAGTCATAAAACTTCGTTTGGAAATCATGTCGTCAGGTAAAGGGGCCGAAATGAGCCTTGATATACATTTTGTAGCATGCGGAATTACTTGTTTCTAAAACATGACCCAACACTGGCCCTGTGATCAGAAGTTATTGACAAATATATTGCCCTGTTTATACCACAAAATTTATTTTAAGTACAGAAAAATCTGTGCACACGGAAACATTTAAGTCATGATAGTATCTAAATGTGGTCCTGTTTACACCACTAAATTTACGCTGAGTACAGACAAACTTCTGCATCAAGACAAGTTTTAGGGCATACATACATGTATACTGCAGTTAAGGGAAATAAAAGGGAATTTAAAACTCCTCAGTGTCGGACCACAGCCTATAAGAACAGTTTTATTCCACATACTCTTGATAAGTGGAATTCACTTGATGGAGAAGTTAAAAATATTATAAGCTTTACAGGATTCAAAAGAAAACTGAATGAGGACATAAGTCCTTGTCCAGTTTTCTTTTCCACTGGTTCACGAAAAGTTAATATAATCCACTGCCAATTAAGAAATGAGGCTAGTGATCTAAAACATCATCTCTTCATTTGTCAGACGACTCTATGTGCCTGTGGAGACCCGATAGAAGATAATTTTCATTTCTTTTATGTATGTCCATTTTACATTTATCAGAGATATGAGCTCTTTCGAAAACTAAGGAACTTTGATAATGTCAATCTTGATGTCCTACTACAGGGTTGCTCAGACTTAAATATTGATGAAAACACAGAGATATTTACTTATGTCCAACAATATATTCATGAAACTGGAAGATTTTTATAATATTTCAAGTGATAATATAACTGTTTAGAAATCAGCCTATAACCACAGTGTACCACTCTTTAGTCTTAGTTAAAGACAAACCTAACCTCCAACACAAAAAACAACCAATTGTGTTTAGCATCCTTTTGCAAATAAATTTATAAATATTTTATTTCATATTTTGTATTAGCATGATTAGTATATATTTTCAAAAAAAAAAATCAAGAAATTAATAGTCTTGTAATAAGATGGTATACTAAATTACTTATGTATTGCAAAATAAGGGCCAATAATTCTTGTTATTCATATAAATAGAACAACTTTGTTGCAGTGAGTTTGTGAATTTGATGAAAAATATCACTTAAACGATCTATTTGATTCCTTACTAACACTTATTAATGTGGTATAAAATTCAACACCACTTTCAGTAGATCTTGCAATGACCTTGTTCACATAGTTATATGCATACCCAATGAAATATTTTAAGAAGTGGGGGGATTGCCTCCCCTGACTCACTGCAACAATGTATGATCTATTGGCAGTTCAAATTGCATGTACTTCATCCTGGGTTGTCTACCTTGCAGATCCTTAGTTACATGTTGCACTTATTGTTAATGGGTTCTCGTCCTGAATATGCATGATTAATTGCCACTGGATGTTAAGCAGCTGCAACAATCAATCAATCAGTTGTTTCAACTATGAGTGAGGTTAGAATTGAGTTGAATTAAGCATAAAAGATGAAAGATAACTTGTGTTAAACATATAATTATTTCCTCTTGTGGAAGTCTAAGCAGGTTTTGACTTATTTGTGTATGAGCTCTGCATGACTGTCCATTAGTCTTCGGTGAATAGTTGTCTCATTGACAATCATACTACATGTAAATCGTTTTTTGTCGAGCCTGCGACTTTTGTCGCAGAAAGCTCAACATAGGGATAGTGATGCGTTAGCTAACTTCTTAAAAGCTTTATATTTTAGAAGCTAGAAGACCTGGATGCTTCATACTTTGTATATAGATGCCTTATGTTACGAAGTCTGTCATATGTCCATTGTCCTTGACCTCATTTTCATGGTTCAGTGACTACTTGAAAAAAAGTCAACATTTTTTGTAATGTTAATTTCTTTTTTATTATGAGTAATATGATAACTATATTTAGTATGTGCGTACCTTGCAAGGTCCTCATGCCCGTCAGACAATTTTCATTTGACCTTGACCTCATTTCATGGATCAGTAAACAAGGTTAAGTTTTCGTGGTCAAGTCCATATATCAGATACTATAAGCAGTAGGTCTACTATATTTGGTATATGGGATGATTGTAAGGTGTACATGTCCAACTGGTAGGTGTCATCTGAACTTGACCTCATTTTCATGGTTCAGTGATCAAAGTTAAGTTATGGAGTTTTGGTGTTTTTTTCTAATACTATATGCAATAGGTCAACTATAAATGGTGTATGGAAATATTTTATGATGTACATGTCAGTCTCACAGGTTTTATTTGACCTTGACCTCATTTTCATGGTTCATTGGTCAATGTTAAGTTTTCATGGTTAAGTTTGTTTCTTAGATACTACATTGTATAAGCAATAGGTCAACTATATTTAATGCCTAAATTGATTGTAAGGTGTACATGTCTGTCTGGCATGGTTCATCTGACCTTGACCTCATTTTCATGGTTCATTGGTCAATGTTAAGTTTTCTTGTTTTTGACTTTTTCTTAGAAACAATAAGTAATAGGTCAACTATGTTTGGTTTATTGAATGATTGTTATGTGTACATGTATTTCTCGTTTGGTTAATCTGACCTTGACCTCATTTTCTTGGATCATGTTAAGTTTATGTGTTACTTGTAGTAAAGCTTTGTATTTAGGACTATCAACATAAAATCAATGGTTAGTAAAGAAGGCGAGACTTTTCAGCGTGTGCACTCTTGTTTTTAATATTTACATTTTTGCCAACTTGGGAAGAAAGGGGAGGAGATACCTAGAGGCAATCAAAAACCAAAAGTCGAACAGGCAACATGAGGAAAAAACATTTAAAGAGGAAAAGACCAACATCAGTCCTCAAAACAGAACAATGTTACACAGAAAACAAGTTTGAGCTCCACAAAACCAACAAAATCTAGTATTGAGCATTATCTCAAATGTTCCAGAAGGGTCAGCATTTGTCTGTTGACACCCCTGCTGGAACATTTCATTTATCCATATAACATAGCCAATAACTTATGTCTTGATTTGATTTAATTTTAAATAAATTCTTATAATGATTGGATATCTTAAAATTTGAAGTAATTTGAATGATCTTCATTATGCCTTTCAGTACATATATAAAGATTTTTTGTTTTGGTATGTTGCTGTCTCACTGAGTCATCCGAGGTTGTGGGTTCCAACCCCGTCCGAGTCAAACCAAAGACTTTAAAATTGGTATTTACTGCTTCTCAGCTAATCACACGGCATTAAGGAGTAAGAGCAAAGATTAGTCGGCTAGGCATATTGGTCTAGTACAAAGCTGGGTTAATTTTCAAATACATTAATATGTTCCCATCCTTTAATATGTATATTAATTTGCCGTTGGACATTAAGCAGCCATCCATCATCATTATCATTGAGTCATTCATGTTTCTTGTCTTGAACTTACATTCAAATGACTAAAGAATGTTGGATATGCATATCAGTCTGAAATCAGATAGCAACCAAATGACAAAAAACAACCAAAGACATCTAGACAACATAATCTTCAACAATAACTACTATAGGACAAGCTAAAAATTCCTCCTAGTCTAAGGAATGGGTAAATAATATATTAAAAACTATCAGACTATCATATCTGCAATAATCACCAAATACTCCAAATAACAAAAAGCATTTTGATATGACTGACACGAGACAACGAATGAAGAGGTTCTTGACTTGTGACAAGCACATGAATATGTGGCATATACAATACATGTTTACCGGTAATTTCTATAGTTACAAGAAGATGTGGTATGAGTGCAAATGAGACAACTCTCCATCAAAGTCACAATTTAAAAAAAAAACCATTATAGGTCAAAGTACTTTCAACACGGAGCCTTGGCTCACACCGAACAGCAAGCTATAAAAGGCCCCAAAAATGACTAGTGTAAAACCATTCAAACAGGAAAACCAACGATCTAATCTATATAAAAAACGAGAAACACTTATGAACCACACCAACAAACGACAACCACTGAACATCAGGTTCCTGACTTAGGACATTGTTTCACATAATTGTGACTAAATCAATAACTTTTTTTTTAACATGCATGAAATTTTTGCCACTGGACTTTAAGCAAACAACTATCAATCATCAATCTTTTGAGCTGAAAGAATGAACCGTTTACTCATGATTTAACATACAACAAAGTTTTTATTGAAGGCAGAAATAATAATCAGGGCATAAGACTTTCAAGTCTTCTGAAATCCTATACTAGTGGCTGTTTCTATAATCATTGAACCATTTCAAAGAGTGCTATTGTATCCCTTTCTGTGCTTTACAACTTTGTCTCTCATTTCTATAGGAAATCAGGATGCTAAAGGAGCTGAAGGGGGAGATAACTCCAATGATAAGAAAGAAGAAGGGTCATCTAATAGTCAAGGTGCTGCAGGGGGAGATAATTCTGATTCTAAAGCAGGAGAAAATCAAAATACAGAGAAAAAAGTAAGTGGTTAGTCATAAATACAGATTTATCAAGATATGAAGATATCTATTTTGGATGCAATGATTTTTTGTTTTTTGGTTTACTGTTTTTCATTAAGCATAAATCACAAATCTCTTATTGTTTATATTGCCAGCAATAGCTACATTTAGAAAACTGAGTTCTTTCATTATGGATGGATCAATTTTGATAAGATATCTACTTATAAGGAAAAAGGATCTTAAATACATTTGGATTGTTTGTAAATAAATATAAGAAGATGTGGTATGAGTGCCAATGAGACAACTCTTAATCCAAGTCTCAATTTGTAAAAGTAAACCATTATAGGTCAAAGTACGGCCTTCAGCACAGAGCCTTGGCTCACACCGAACAGCAAGCTATAAAGGGCCCCAAAAATGACTAAATACACACTATGCCACATTAAACATGTTACTCCCCTTTGTTCAGAAAAAAAATTGGCATAGCATTGTAAAATTTTCTAATAATTTTTTACCTTTACTGGACAATTATACCCTCTTTTACTTTGGGTCCCAACTCTTCTGCTAATAGATGCAAATTATTTTTGTAAATCTAGGTATGACCATGCAAGAGATGGTGGTATCATTTTTAAGTAATAGTCTCCAAATCAAGCATATTCATACTGTAACATCGTCTTTACTAGTGTAAATTTCGTTTAAATATTCCAAGGCACACAGAATTCTGACATCTTTTTATATAATTATTTTAGGAAGAAGAAAAGAAATCTGGTATGTGTTCTTCTGTAAATATGTGCTGATGTATATCTCTAATGTAACAACAATAGTTAATTATTTGTTGTTAAGTTGACAATTGGTGGCATTGCTCCTTTAATTTGTTCATCAGATAAAAGAAAAGGACATCAAGTTTTGTTTCTGCTCTTTGCTTTTACAAATATGACAGCACATAAATGCCTACCATGGCTAATGACTTCAAACAAAAACAATTTCAATATTTGGAAAGAACACTATATTGACTACATATCATGCAAAAATCATAAAAGAAACAGATTTATATATAAAAATAAGAAGATGTGGTATGATTGCCAATGAGACAACTCTCCACAAGAGACCAAATGACATAGAAATTAAAAACTATAGGTATTTGTTCATTTTTGAAAGGAACACCAAACCCTCAGAGTTATCTGATCATGACATGATTACTTTAGGTTATGGACAGTATAAGCATATCAGTGCTCAATATAACATAAAATATAGTTCTGCTCAGATAAATGTTAATAAATTACACATGTTACAGAAGGGTCACTTATGGAATTTTTTAAATTTTTTTTTAGCTCTTTTTGATGCATTTGCTGTTTCCCTTGGATTAAAGGATGAACCCAAGATAGAATCATTGTTAGATACAGTAGACTTTAATGGCATTGTCAAGTACATAAAAGATGGCAAAGCAAAAAACATCATCACAATGGCGGGAGCTGGGATTTCTACTTGTGAGTTAAAAGAATGGATTTCCATAAGAAACCAGTAATGTCTTAACCTTTAATCTTGTGGTTAATTTTATATTGATTTAATAAAGTTTGTCTAATGAAGAAAAAGTCTGGTAAATTTATGTTCAAATTACCTGAATCAAGCAATTTCAGCTTAGCATTATTGATTTGGTCCATCGGTTGTTTGAATTGATACAATAGATAGTTTTCAATATGATTTAATTTGAGTTGGAGTTATTTCCCTTTGTCACCATCTTTGAGGTGAAACAAATTTTCTTATTTGACTAACCAAAATATAACATGTGGTACAAGGAAGGCTGAAAAGAGATCCTTACTTGTGATACATTTTACAATGCTTAAAACATTTCAGAATTGTCAAGAAAACAATTTTTTGTAAAGTCTAGTTGTCAGTATAACAAGTTGAATTTGGTTGATTTATGAAGGAATTTATGCAAGTTGACCTCCACCATGGCTGCAAAGGGAAATTCCTCTTGCTCTAACATTGAAATTCCCCTTCCCCTTAGAAAAATGCAAAATTCAATGCCTCATGGTCTTATATAAGGAAAATACAGTCGCTTAGCGTTTGGGCTTTAGAATATACTAGACCATACCAGCAACATCGCGGGTCAGTCCGTGACTGAATTAAAGAACCTACGCCTTATTTTAAGCCTGGATTTTTAGAATTCGTATTGCGCTGATTATAAGGTGTACAGTAATTCCCTGTATAATGACGAAGTTCAGGTGTGATTATTAACCGTGTTTATAGCAAATCCTAAATACACCGTTTAGTTGTGCACCTGACAGAGGCGGAGCGTACAGATTAGTTTACAGAGATCAGGTAATTTTGTGACATATACCATTGGAATTGGTATCGGATTCGACCCGGAACTTGTTAATTATTGGTAATATTAATTATGTGGAAAACAAAAGGGCCTGGAATGGTGTAATTTTTAATCTACACCACTGTCCTATATTATTTATATATAAAGTTAAATTCTGTGGGCAGTAAGTCGACTGAGCATGCGCAAAAGCGTATAATACACTGATCGATAACGGTCTCGGAATTTGGATATTTTCTAAAAAATTGGCGTTTTCTGTGGAAAAAAGACTGTTTCAAAGACAAATTTAGGAAGTACAAAACACTACATTTATACGTCATATCACAAATATTTCCGACTTTGAATGGTTTCAGAGGAGTTGCGTCTCAATGAAATCGGTCTCTTCCTTTAGTAGTATAGATATACTGTAAATTCAGAAATTATTGCGAGGTTTTTATTATTGTGACAAATGCGACAGAGTTTTAAAAGCAATAATTTAAACTCGCATTTTGAAATATTTTATATGAACTAAACAGGATTTTTCTCAACATCGTAAAAATTAAAATCGCATTTAAGTCTAAAATGACAAAATCGCAAAAATAAATGCACGCAATAATTTCTGAATTTACAGTATACTAATTATGGCTAAATGATTCCTACAAAAGTTGTTATTCTATGCAATTTGTTAGATCCATATTAACTATGGCATTTGAAAATATGAAGTTAAAAAATTATACAAAATAAATTCTATTTAAACAATAAAATAAGTACCTGGGAATAAATACAACACACAATTTCTTTGGATTTAACTTTTTGTATTTAATTTTTGATTTGAGATCATTTCTATTTTTAGCTGCAGGCATTCCAGATTTCAGATCCCCAGAGACAGGCTTGTATGATAATTTGCAGAAATATAATTTGCCAGAACCAACTGCAGTATTTTCAATTGATTATTTCAAAGTAAGTTGTATACTGTTTTAGGGGCCTTGGTATCAGAAGAGTCTAAGAAGTTCATCTATAGTGATCACTAGCCTGTCAACAAAGAGATTTTAAGTTTGAATTCCCCTCATGGAATGTGCCTTTGACTCCATTTAATTGACATTTTTCCTGCTGAAGATTTCTCTGGGCACTGTCTTTCTTAACAATAAAAACTGGCCAAGTGCGCTGAAAGTGGAGTTAAAACACCACCAATCAATCATATATTGTTTTTATATCTATATAAATAAAAAAGAAGATGTGGTATGATTGCCAATGAGACAACTCTCCACAAGAGACCAAATGACACAGAAATTAATAACTACAGGGTCACTGTACGGCCTTCAACAATGAACAAAGCCCATACTATGTATATAACAGATGTTGTATATTCATCAATGAGTCAGCAAACATGTGACACAAAAACAAAAGATATCAAGAGGTCAACATATGGACTGCAACAGTAAACACTTTAACAACATTGTTAACAACTATGGGGTTTTATTCATTAAAAAAGGGGGATTTTCCAGTTTTCGGACTATAACTCAAAAACACTTTCACCAATTTGCAAGAAACTTTGGAGGATTGTTTATATCTATTGATGTGAGCCCGCTTTAGATTTTTATGACATTTAGATTAAACGTTTACAAGCTATGGGGTTTTATTCATTAAAAAAGGGGTATTTTCCAGTTTTCAGACAATAACTCAACAATGCTTTGAGTAGTTTTCATGAAACTATTGTGAATTGTATATATCTATTGATGTAAGCTCCCTTTCGATTTTTATAAGTTTTAGATTTTACGTTTCCGAGTTATGGGATTTTATTCATAAATTGTGGTGATTTTCCAGTTTTCGGTCAGTAAATCAAAATTGCTTAGAACAGTTTTCATGAAACTTTGGTGACTGGTTTATATCTATTAAAATGACCTCCCTTTAGTTTTTTTTTATAAATTTCTGATATGACATTGAGAAATTATTGAACTTTTATTCTTTGAAAAAAAGCGACAGCCATATCATGCACTCACAGCTGTTTATTAACAAATCACTAAACTTGACCATTTGTACTGATTTGCAAAGCAGAGGTCCATTGAATAAAGGTGTAAAAACTATGGAGTTTTTAAATGTATGCCAAGAACTAAATTTTCAAAGAACTTATTGTGTGAAAAAAGGGATTTTTTACCTCGAGAAGCTGCATCACAAAAGGACTTTTGGGGTGTGCTAAATTACAGAAAAATGTATCCTGAAAATTTCACCACATATGAAATCATCTGACATGTCCTTATTGGAGTTGTTTCCCTCTATTGACAATTTTTTGCATTTTTGCCTAATATTTGAAAAACTATAATAGATAAATTGAAACTTAAATATGCAAAAATGATCAGCTATGCCTCCAGCCAACAGCTACAAATAACCTTGACCCAATGTATCTGTACTTGGACATAAAACAGGATTAATATGAAATCACCCATTTATTAACACTATTATATAATGTGTAAGTAATACAATAATACAATATATATATTTATCATGGAATTAAAATCTGAAAATCCAGATTTTGAAGAGATGAATTTATGGTATGAAAATATTCTTTAAGATTCCTTTTTTTTTAAATGGGCAGTTTCAAAAGCATGGTTTGATTTTAAGGGTACCATATGAGATAATATATTTTACAATAGAGGAAACTCAGAAGATTCCTTTGTGATAGACTGCTTGGAGTGGAAAATCTTCATATTCACACAATAAGATTCTTTGTAAACATTTAATATATCCAACTAGTAAGAGGTAATGAAAGACCTTAGTCAATACATATATATACTTAGTCTCTGTAAGAACTTTGGCTAATGTCATTTAGTATGGGAGTTTTCAAGTGTAAAACGTTGTACTCAAACTCACGATTTCTTTACAGGAAAACCCAGAACCATTTTTTATGTTGGCAAGAGAGTTATGGCCAGGTGTATTTAAGGTACTGTAATTAATTTAAATTTACTGTGAACACTTTTTTTTAGCGGCACATATTTTTTATGTACCAGGGTATATGTGTTTATATTATTTTAAATTGGCAATTTGATGTAAAATGAAATGACCCATAATCCTTTAATTTATGAAATAATGAATTGTTTGATGTGTAGCACATATGATAATTAAGAAATAAAAACATGTTATGGTTTTAAAACTGTTAAAAATACATGTTCATATTTATACAGCTCATGAACTTCAGTATGCCTTAAACAAAACATGTTATGATAAAAACTAGTTGGAAGGCATGAACATTTCTGTATAACTTATGATTAGTGTCAGACACGACTGAAAAAAACCCAAACATTCATATTACTGAACATTAATTTTGTCATTATTCCCTGTATAATTTAGCAAATTATTGTTTGAACTATAAATCAGAGCTTCCTGAAATTTGGAATCTTGCTTCATTTGATCATTCTATACTCTGTGATGCATTTTCAGATTCATTGCTTATCTATTTATGAAAAATATATATATTCTTACACATTATTGGGGGTCGTAATGGGGGTACCTTCATGACGAATAACGGTAAAAAATCTTGGCAAATGACGTTAACAGTAATTTTTGGGACATGACGATAAAATGTACATTTTCTTTATGAAAAAATCTGCTGATTTTGACGAATCACATTTAATTCTTTCCAAAATTAACGATTGCCGATAATTATTTGAGACCTCTGACGAATCATAATAAGGATATTTTGACGAATCACAATAAAATTTTAACCAATTTGATTCTAACGTTAGCCGAAAATGACTGTTTGATGCCTGACAGTAAAGGGCATTCCTACCCTCATAATAGACATGTTTGAAATTTGGAGTCCACTTTCATGTGATCTTACTATACAGTGTCATACATTTTTAAATCAATGACTTCCTGTTTATCGAATACTTAAAGCAGTCTCCATTAGTAAACAATCGCCCACAGTTCAATTTGTTTTTAGTTTTTTGTGTACTACTTGCCACTATTTTTTCAGACCTCTATGAATCTACAGTATATAAACATCTTTTTTTTTTAGCCTACAACTTGCCACTATTTTATCAGAATGCTTCAAGAAAAAGGACTTCTTTTGAGACACTTCACTCAGGTAAATCTACTTATTCAAGTCTGTGTGCATGATTGTAATAAAAATGAAGGACAATGGTGTATTAATTCATGACATAATCCCTTTCACACACACACACACACATGACAAAACCAAAAGAATTTTACAGCCATTCTTCATCTCAAAGTCACATATGTGTGTCTGAATGCTACATGGTGTGAGGCACTACATCTAGTGAGGTAGTATACTGTGGATTCAATATAATAGGTGGGATACTAATTTATAAGGATTTTGTGGGTACAGGTGGACCACAAATTTATATGTTCAACAAAGAACAAATTTTCTATAGGCTTGTATACAGACTTTTTTAAAACCATGAAATGAAATATCCATGATATCGCAATCTTTACGAAAATTGGAACCAATGAAAATAAATTAATCCGCAGTAGTAAATCTGTAAATTATAAGCATGTTATTCTGATTTTATTCAACACAGCACAAGTTTTCTGGAAAACTTATTAGAAATTGTATCATTTGGAAAGGGGAGATAACAAGGGTACAATCAAAAGCCATTATTGAAAAAGATAACAATAAGGCTAGAAACACACCATGGCCAAAAGAAAAAAAACCAGCAAACAACAGTCTTCAAAATACTACACAGGAAACTAAAGATTAAACAATAGGCACCCTTTAAAAAACCGTGGTTAAACTCATGTGCCTTGTAAGGGTGAGCATGTTCTGCTCTAGTAGTGGCAACTGTCGTGTTGACATATTTGATGTCATAAAGGAGCATGGAGATAGGATTTTGGCAACATGGAACATATCCATGGTAATCTTTGACATTATATATTCAAAAAAATCAGACCAAATCATGCCATAAACAAAATATATGCATTAGAAAATGGTGGAAAAAGACCGTAATGTGTTTTATATTTTAGACTAGAAGGATTTGATCCTTTATATTAGGTCTATTATATTTTCATGATGGAACATATTTTTAATGTTCTTTTAATCAATTGCAGAATATAGACACACTAGAGAGTGTTGCTGGTTTGGACCCCGAGGTGTGTGTTGAAGCCCATGGTCATTTCAGGACGGGGCATTGCATACAGTGTAGGGCAGAGTATACCCAGGACTGGATGAAAGGTAATAGATTTGTTGGTGCCCTATTTATCATAATACCACATCAGGTACCAGTAACTTGTAAATAAAACTTAATTAATATACTGGTAATACTGTAGGTTTCTTAATTTTTGTAGGTACTAATTTTCATGGAATGAAGAAAAATTATAATTTCTTGGAAAGTTTATTCTGTGGTTTTAACAAAACCCTCCATACAAGCCTATAAAAAATTGGTATTTTGCCAAACACTTAAATTCTGGATAACCTTTGACTTCCAAAAAATCCACAAAAATTAGTACCTAACCAATGATAATTCATCATTGGAAGCTGGAAAAAATTAAAACTTCCCTTTATTTTGATTCTGTTGCTATTAGACTATTTGTATATAGTCTTGTGTACCATGCTTTTATATATAACTAGTAAGACTTGTGGGAATTAGGGAATCTGGCTTTACTTTAGTCTATGAGTCAATAATCACTTAATCACAACTTCTAAACCATTGAATGGATTTCAGTTGAACCTAGTTTAAAAGGTGGCATAACAACAGCCTAAATCAAATAGATCGACAAAAAATTTGATTTACCCATCTAGACATAGTTCTAGCAAAGAGGGACGAAAGACACCAGAGGGACAGTCAAACTCATAGATCGAAAAAACTGACAACGCCATGGCCAAAAATAAAAAGACAAATAGACAAATAATAGTACAGATGACACAACTAATCATTTGAAATTGGATAACATGAGTGAATAATATATTGAATAAATAACTCTTTTTTTATGCCCCCCCCCCCCCCCCGTAGCGGAGGGGGCATTTAGTTTTACCCTTGTCTGTCTGTCTGTACGGACGTATGTACATACGTACGTCCCAAACTTATACACAATGCTTATTACCACAAAATACAGATCAAGTTTGAATTTTGGTAGGGTCACTCTTAACTGTTCTCGAGTTATGCCCCTTTATAAATGGAAAAAAATGCAAAATGTTTAGTTTCCGTTCTGTAACTTAAGTTGCCTCAACCAAATGTTATGAAACTTATACACAATGCTTTTTACCACAAAACACAGATCATGTTGAATTTTGGTGTCATCACTTTAATCATTATCGAGTTGGGCCCCTTTATAAATTGAAAAATTGCTAAATTTTTAGTTTCCATTCTGTAACTTAAGTTTGCCCCAACCAAACATTATGAAACCTTTACACAATACTTATTACCACAAAACTCAGATCTAGTACAAATTTGGGTAGCGTCACTTTTATTTTTCTTGAGTTATGTCCCTTTATAATGTTGTATGCAAGCGGGGGCATCATCTGTGTCCATGGGGACACATTCTCCATTTATTTAAAAAAAAAAATTTTTAGTAGTCAGGCTTTTACAAAATCCCTGTTCATCACCACCTGACTATGGTGTTAAGGGTTTTGATGAATAAAATAAAAGTTAAATAATTGAGTAGATTTTTTCTACTACTGTGAATATATATTATATGAATATCAACATTATAACAAAAAGGGGAAAAGAACAATCACACACACACATACACACAAACTGTCTTACAAACAATGAAATGGCGAAAATTTAGCATTTATTTGATCTTTTATTTTTCAGAGAGGATAATGAAACCAAGTATACCTAAATGTGAAGCAGAAGAGTGTGAGGGTGTTGTCAAACCTGGTAAGTTATCTCCCTTGTGGACCAAGATGATTTTTTTTTTTCAGTTAATTGAATGACCCTCTTATTTCAAACTAGTATATTAAGTTTTTTTGTCCTCTGCTCAACACATTGCAGGGACATAGAAATACAGGCCGTTCATCCAGTCTTGTAAGCATGTATAATTCTTGCCACATTTTATTTTTAAGCATAATCAGAGGTTTATATCAGCAATGACTTGAAAATCAGTGCTATTCAACAATTTTTTAAAGAGGTATGCCCCTTAGATATATTAGTTATATGGAAAATTGCATTGTAAGCACTCTCACATGTAAAATTTTGCCGTATTTTTATCAAACTTATATCAGAGGTTTATATCAGCAATGTCTTGGATAATTTCCAAAATCAGTGCCAATCAAAAAATTTTTTAAAGAGTAATGCCCCTTGAAAAAGTTGATTATATTGAAAATTGCATTGTAAGCGCTTTCAAGAACAAAATTTTTTTTTTAGTTATTGCCCTTGCACAAATAAAAATATGTGCAATGAGGTGGTCATTGGAACTCTGTTCTTTTATTATTATTGATAATGAAATAATGTATTTCTTTCCATATGTGACCTTATTACAAACTTTTTTGTTCTATCTGTTTCCGATTCTCTCAATTTACAAACATATTGTTAGAACTCTTTAATGATGTTGTGCTTTTAATTTTGATCATATTCCATATCTATACAAAAATCAATGCTTTCATTCTAAGATATATTTCACTGGATTCACTGTTACCTTTCTCGATTTTTGGTCCTTGATTGTATTGAAACTTAAGCAAATTCTGTGAGATAACTTGTAAATTCCTGAATCAGTCCTTCTCAAATTTCGATATGTTGTTTCTTGTTATAAAATGGAGAGATTGATTTTGATTTTCACTCTTGCCATTCAAGAGTTATGGCTCTTGATTGTTTTAGCAATTACGCTAATAAATGTAACAAAAACTTGTCTGATAACTTGGTAGGGAGGGGGAAGGGGATAAATAGACAGGAAATAATGTCCCAAGATAAATGTTTGGAAGAAGTATTATGCCAAGTCATATAGAATTTCACCAATACTGAGACATCAGTGATATTATGGAAGCATGTCTGCCTTGAGTTTGAGAGCAAAATTGTTCCTTCTGCTGCTGGGTCAAACCAAACACATGAAAATTGATATTTTCTCTTTTAAGCTAAGCATGCAGCATTTAGATGTTAGAGCAATGATTTGTCAGCTGGAAGTCTGGGTTAGGCTGACATGTTTTCTAGTGCAGTGTTGTCTTGTGAACTAACAATTAAAAATCCTACTACGTCAGATATGATTGTGGTATTTGCCACTGAACATTTAACTTTAATCCATACATCCATCATTGATACTAATACAAGTTTCATGTTTTATATAAAAATACTGTTATTTCAGAAAATTTTGTATGTATTTTTTACTGCTTTTTTTTCATAATGTTAAAAAATACAAGATAAATTGTTTGGACTTCAATTAATACATAGATACTGCATAGAGTTTATGCTATCAAATGCTATTAATATTTAAAATGTTACTTTTTATTTTTTAGTTATCTATTCCTTTGCAATTTTCACAATAACAAAAAAACATACTAAAAATTTCTGAATTTTTCAGTAAATGAAAAGGTTAATGTATATATGAATTCACAGTACTTTAGGTGCCTCCATGGCAGAGTGGTCTAAATATTTCAAATAACAGTAATCACTAGCCTGTCAATCCTGAGGTAGTGAGTTCGAACTCCAGGTGTGTTGACTTCTATCTTAATTGACTAGAAATACCAGTTTTCCTGACAAAAGGCAGTGGTTTTCTCTGTGTATTCCAGCTTCCTACACCAGTAAAAACTGGCCGACTCGATATTGCCAATCGTGCTGAGAGTGCCATTTAACACCAACAATCTATCAATTATTGTACTTTGATTATGATAAACAATTGTGATGCTGTGACCTAATTCTACCTTTTGATGTTTGTTGCAGATATTGTCTTCTTTGGTGAAAATCTTCCATTTCGTTTTCTGAAATGTATGTCAGAGGTAAGAAATAATTAAATATTTTATTTTTATGATAATTTGAAGTAATTACAGATAACACTTTAATAATGGAAATGTAGAATTGTTTTTGTTATGTCTAAGTAAAACAGTCATGGATGACATTTCACACATCCAAAGTGAGAGATCTCGTTTTTGAATATTTTTCTGAAAGACTGAATTAAAATTTATTTTATTTCATTGTTCATTTTCTGTTAAAATATCAATGCCTATAAACTTTTTACATTAACATTCATATGTATTTAATTGTAAAATGAATTAAATAAATATATAAACAACATGTAAGGTATACTTTGTATTTGTGAAAAGGTATAATACCACCCATTTTTGTTCGTAAAATCAAGTATTTTGAAAAGAATTATTACCAGTTTAACTTTATTTCAAATGACGTTACAGTCTGTTTGTATGAATTCCAACCCCTTCTTATACCCCTGTGAAAATTTTACACAATGCTGTAAATGAAGTAATTTGTTTGGTTAAATTTGTTAATTTACTTCATTCCGATGAAACTGCACTTGATGTCATTATTTTGGTGGTATTACTCTTGAACAAACCTTGTTTTATCATAATTGGTCAATTTCTATAGGAAAACATATTCATTTGGTGAAAAAGGGAGAAATTAAGAATTGTTAGATCCTTAGAAAAAGAATTAAAACAATAAAAATAAATAAAGAGTCCTTATTGTCATCTGCAGAGTTGACAACTGTTTTTGTCGAGCCTTCGACTTTTGTCGAAAAAGCGAGACATAGCGATCCTACATTCCGTCAGCGGCGGCGTCCACAAATATTCACTCTGTGGTTAAAGTTTTTGAAATTTTAATAACTTTCTTAAACTATCCTGGATTTCTACCAAACTTGGACAGAAGCTTGTTTATGATCATAAGATAGTATCCAGAAGTAAATTTTGTAAAAAAAAATTCCATTTTTTCCATATTTTTTCTTATAAATGGACTTAGTTTTTCTGCCAGTTAACATTACATTCACTCTGTGGATAAAGTTTTAAAAATTTTAACAACTTTCTTAAACTATCCTGGATTTGTACCACACTTGGACAGAAGTTTTATGATCAAAAGCTAGTATCTAGAAGGAAATTTTGATTAAATTTTGTTCCATTTTTTCCGTATTTTACTTATAAATGGACTTAGTTTTTCTTCCAGTCAACATTACATACAGTCTGCAGTTTAAGTTTTTAAAATATTTATTAGATTCATAAATTATCCTGGATTTTTACCAAACTTGGACAGAAGCTACTTACAATCAAAAGATAGTATAGAGAGGAATATTTTTATTAATTTTTTTTCTTCATTTTTGTTGAGCCTGCGATTAACAGCAAAAGTAGGCGAGACACTGGGTTCCGCGGAACCCTTACGAATTTTTCTTTTTCAGGATTTTGGTAAATGTGATTTGCTAATTATAATGGGAACATCATTATTGGTTCAACCATTTGCCTCATTAGTAAACAGGTAATTGATGTATAAATATTATACTTAACATTACATACATTTAAAGTTTGAATGTACTTTTAGATTATCCATGATATTTCAAATAAGAAGGTGTTTCTCAGCTACAACCTCATCGAGGGCTACAGCCTTGAGATGAGATGTATCATAGAAACTTCTTCGAGCTTGAAAGACCATTGATAATCTGTTAATGGCCATTTTCCTAGGCAACATCAATGACCTAAACTCTTAAAGTCATACATTCTCTGTCTACTAGACTGGAAAAAAGACATATCATGTGAGTAGCTTGATATGGAAAATTATCGTAAAGAAATATCAAAGGAAAATTAGAGAAAATGGACATAAACTTAACTTCACATTCAGTGACTGTACTGCAACTGGTCTTATTTTGATGCCATTTAACTTAGTGACCTTGTGTTCTGTGTAGTTCATCTACAGTGATTATCAGCCTATCATTTCTGAGATAGTGAACTCAAACCCTGCTGATGGTGAGATGTGTTTGACTTTATTCTCAATTGACAGGGATTCAAAAGTGCATGCTGTACAATTTATATATTCTATGAATTTGATCTATTTTGAAAAAAAAATCTATTTTACTGGAGTATATTTTAAGAACATGAAAAATGAAAGCAATAACCAGATCAAGTGGAGGTATAAAAATTTGCATGCCATCCAGTGCACTTAGGCCTTCTCTTCAATTACCCATTAGCAACATCCACAGAGATGTTACTTTAAATATGCAAAAAATGCTATGAACTTTAGTATGTCATGACTTTAAATTTTGTTTATGATTTTCAGAACTCAGGAGAACGTACCAAGAATGTATATCAACTTAGAAAACAGTTGTCCTCCCGTAAGTTAAAAAAATTCACTATACTTCATGTCTAGGGCCTTTCATAAATGACTATATGGTTTGGGGTTTGCTCATTGTTGAAGGCTGTATTGTGACCTATAATTGCTTGCATTTACATCATTTGGACTCTGGTGAATAAGTGCCTCATTGGCAATCATACCCCATATTTTATTTTCATTTTGAATAATTTTTAAGATGTCTATCATCTGTACTTATTGTTGAATATTTAAAAATAAGCAAAGACATTGACTATTTGGTCAAGGTCACTGCATTGTGATGACGTAAAAATGAAAACTACAGACTTGAAAAGTGAATGGATTTGCAATGGGACAATGTATGGTACATAAAGAGAATAGCAGCAATTACCATATTTAGGACAGGACGAAAGATCCAACCAATCACCAACAATCGACTCCCACAGAAAAAATATTGGAGAATACAAAAAATCACAACCAACCACCAACAATCTACATCCTCCAGAAAAAATATTGGAGAATACAAAATATCACACCAATACCTGACTCATCTGAAAAAAAAAAATTGATATACAATCAAAGAAAAACAAACAACACATGGTCCAGATAGTCTGACTTGCTACATACATACAATTTAGATAGATTTAACCTGTTTTACATGTGCACATATTCTTTGCAATCCAGAGTCACATGTTGTAAAAGTAAAACACACAATAAAAAACTGCACAATGCAGCAACCGACAGGACGACCACTTACTTGAACAAGGGAAAACGAGATGGCACGCAATTTGGAAAGCAGGGTCAAGTTGTTCCTGCTACATGTACTACAGAAGGTCGCCCTATAGTGATCCGTCCGTCCGTCTGTCCGTCTGTCTGTCTGTCCGTAACAAATTGTTTCCGTTCTATATCTAGAGAACCGTTATGATTTCATACTTTATACTTGACATGTATATTAACCTACACTAGAGGGTGTGTCATAATGTTTGTACAACTTCCTAGGTCAACGGTCAAGGTCAAAAACTTTGGTTTCAGTTGACAACCCCATGTCCTATGGTAAAGATTGTGTCCGCTCTATATCTTGAGAACCTTTATGATTTCAAAGTTTATACTTGACATGTATATTAACCAACACCAGAGGGTGTGTCATAATGTATGTACAACTTCTTAGGTCAAAGGTCAAGGTCAAAAACTTTGGTTTCAGTTGACAACCCCATGTCCTTTGGTAAAGATTGTGTCCGCTCTATATCTTGAGAACCGTTATTATTTCAAAGTTTATACTTGACATGTATATTAACCAACACCAGAGGGTGTGTCATAATGTATGAACAACTTCCTAGGTCAAAGGTCAAGGTCAAAAACTTTGGTTTCAGATGACAACCCCATGTCCTATGGTAAAGATACAAGTTTTTTACCACACATTATTCATAGTTGGGCCCACAGAGATGGCTCCCATCTCAATGATGTCCAGTTTTTTCAACATTCTGGAAATAAGTTATGAATATGGCCTTTATGAGGTTAAGTTTAAGCTTTTCAATGATTTTTATATGATATGTTATTACAGTAACTAAAACAAGATTCGAAATAACCCTTTTGAATATATTCTTTGTCATTTTAATGCTACAGAGGAAGGATAAAACTGGGCCATATTCCAAGGCCAATAACAGGTAAAGTAAAGGGACAGTCTGATTGTTAGGTCATTCCAAATTGTTTAGATGTTCTTTGGACACTGGCTACAAGAATTTCAAGATAATAAAACTAAATCAGCTGTACTTCTTAAATTATATCCCAACAATTTTAATGGAAAATTACACTTTTGGAATATAAAAAACAACTTTATTTGGAAAGTGAAAAAAGTACTGATTATAGAAAAAAAAGGATAATACAAAAAAACATTAAATATCTTTCAAAGAAAGAAAAAAAACAAGATGATAATCGATTAAAATCTGATCCAAAGAGCAGTCTATCAATATGGAACGTCAATGTGAGAAATCCTTATTTTGAATTTGGTGTACAGTGCTTGTTTTTATTTTAAAATGTAGACCCAGTCACTGCTGTTTTGATTTTTTTATGATTTTTTTTTATTTATTCAGAAACTGGATCCAATTATGACTGTGATATTTGGCAGTGGTTTTGATTTTGATGGTGAAAATAATTACAGGTTGGTTTGATGTATGACATGTCTTGAAGATCAAGTGCCTGTCTGGTGTACAAAATTATTGCTTCGCATCAAGGTGCAAAGCTATTATTTTCATTCTATATCCATGCAATCTACTTATCAAATTTTGATTCTGATTAATTGCTTTATGGTGTGGCTAAGGTTCTATTGGCTAAAATGAGATATAGAATTAGGAACATGTCCCAGACAGGAGAAGATATCAAATACGGAAGATAAGGAATAGACTTACAGTATGGGTATTCAAAGACCCTATCAACAATTATTGCTTCATGTTGACGTAATTTATGATACTGCGAAGCACTAAGTATCTTTTAAGAAAGGTTAAACTTGTAAGCCTGTTATCTTTGATTAGTTTTTACAACTACTTGGTTGATGTCTCTGCTGGTGGACGTTTCGTCCTCGAGGGTATTACCAGCCCTATAGTCAGTACTTCTTTGTTGACTTGAAATCTTACTGATATGGTTTTTTTTGTTAATAAAACTTCAAAATTGTTGTAAACTTTTCACCAACATATCAGTTGTTTTTAACACTAAACCTATTTCATCAAAAGAATTGATCAAATTGGTTTATTGGTTTGTAAATACCAGAACTGGACTTGGAGAAAAAAATTATATTAACTGGATTGTGAAAAATAAATAATAATAAAAGACTGGCCTAAAATCCTATGATTTTTAGGTAGAAAAACCAAATATACTTTTTGTTGGCCTTATCAATTCCTTGGCATTTCTGTGTGACCTTTTTGAAATTGATCAAGATTCAGAAGAATTACCTGTTTTTGTTCTTCCAGACGACAGGTAACCAGTGCACTCTAATATGCACGTAAAGAGAACCAGTGCACTCTTATATGCAAGAACGATATGTAAGGGTTATGTTAGGATACGTTAGGTGAATTTTTCAGCACAAGCCAGGCTAAGGTATAATTAAAATAATCTTTAAGAGTATGACTGCATTTATGTTTACAAATTGTATACAAAGTTTGAAAAAAACACAAACTTCCTACATCTTTAAACAAAAGCTTGCACATGTGTAATGACAGTGTTGACAATTGTTCTGATTCATTTGTTGTCATGCAAACACCTAATTTCATATGCTGAGAATGAAAGATTGTGAATGGAAATTAGTCAGAATTGATACTGTAACAAAGGATAAATGTTTACAACTCAGAAATTTTTAAGCTGTAATACAAATTTTATGGCTGCTTGTTGTAAGTAGGACCAGCAATTTTTTCCAGAAAAATTACTGTTAAGAAATACTTGAACTAACAGTAACTATGGCTTAATTGAAATCTACCTTATTGTTTACTGAGAATTTTACCTTTGTTTGTTAAATTCTGAATTTGATTTTTTTCAGAGATATATTTTGGCAAGGAACCTGTGATGATGGTTGTATGGCATTAGCAGAAGCCTTAGGATGGGGTGTAAGTTTGTTAATTTGTATCTCCTTCTTCCACATGTACAGTACATTTTGTTTGGGTACTGTAATTTCAAAAATTATTGCGATTTTTGGAGAACTAACAAAAAAAGCGAGTTTAATAATTGCGATTTTAGGAAAAGCTACGTACAGATATATGTATTTGATATCAAAATGCGAGTTCTTATTATTGCGATACTCAAGTAGTCGCGTTATTGGCATTAATAAAAACCTTGCAATCATTTCTGAATTGACAGTATCTAAATTAGGTTCATGAAATTCAAGTAGGATTGATTTTGTATCTTCTTAATATCACTTGTTATTACATTGGTTGCAATGAAATACATTGATATCCCAGTGTAATAAAAACAGATATATATAGATGTGAAATAAATCAGATAATTACACTCCACTGAGGTCAAACAACAATGTGTACTATAAAAATAAAAAGATGTGGTATGAATGCCAATGAGACAACTCTCCACCAGAGACCAAATGACATAGAAGTTTACAACTATAGGTCACCCTGCGGCCTTCAACAATGAGCAAAACCCATACCGCATAGTCAGCTATAAAAGGCCCAAAAATGACAAATGTAAAAACAATTCAAACGAGAAAAGTAACAGCCTGAATTAATTACAAAACAATGAACAAAAAACAATTATGTTGTTTAGATGTTGTTGGTGTTGTGCATCAAATCTAATTGAAAATGCGTAGAAAAAGATTTAGTTCCTTGCATTTTCTACTTTATTAAAATGTAATAAAAAGAAGAACTAATAAAAAAAATTTCAATTTGTGACTGAACAACACTGTCAGATAATTTACTCATGAATTATTGTGTTGATCAGTCAATCATTGAAAATTATTCTATATTCTCTAATTTTTGTGCTATTTTCACATTTCTTGACTGGTGTGAGAAAAATATTTCTCCTCACTAGTGAAAAATTTGTTCTTGGCAAATGTTTGGTTGAAATTTTATTATGACGTCAAATTTTCTTGGTTTCTTCTGAATTTTCCTATTGTGACGTCATGAAAAAAGGCGACCATGCCTGATGATGTCACATATAAAGAACACAACTTTCTGCAAATCTTTGAAAAGGAAGGACAAGAATCATCAGAGAAACAGATTCCACCACTATAACTCGTGTATTATGCTATTTCTCCACTCTCAACAGTTAAATTTAAAGTATGTAAAAAGCTCGGCAAGCCTCACGCTTTAAATATTAAAATTTAACTGTCTTGAGTGGAGAAATATCGTAACACACTTGTTGCAGTGGTGAAATCTATATTTCTTGGCTTAGTGATTCTTTAATTATTACTGATTTCCATGAGAAACAGCATTTTTCCATGGTGGTCGCATGAAAGCCTGCTCGTCAGGAAGGCAAAGCTCTTTGTTTCCACTTTGGTTCCGACCAAGTTTTGTTAATCCAAAGACCTTGTGCTTTTTGTCAATCACGTGGTATTAAGGAGTTGGACGTTGGAACAGACTGAATGCTTCCCTCATAGTGAGAATACTGTGTCTTGTTTTTGATTTATGAAATTTTCACACTAATGAAATATTTTGTTAAATTTTTTATAATGCCACAGCCTTCACTAGAGGGGCATTAAGTGTTACCCTTGTCCGTCCGTCCATCCTTCTGTACATCCGTACATACATCCCAAAGTTGGTTTCCGTTCTCTAACTTTAGTTTGCCTCAACCAAATGTTATGAAGCTTATACACAATGCTTATTACCACAAAACACAGATCAAGTTCGTTTTGGGTGGCGTCACTTTTACAGTTCTCGATTTATGCCCCTTTATAGCGTTATATGCTCCATGTATTATTGTATGGAGATTAACCATATTGTATTTAAGCTTGGTCTATGTAAAAATTTGTTTTTACTGCTGCGTCGCTAGGTAAACTCTGTAAAACATGTTTTTTATGTGCACAGCCTAAAATACAATACAATACAGTTTTCTCCTAGTAAGTCCCCTGCCGACAAAGTCGAAGAGGACTTTAGGTTTGCACTCCGTCCGTCTGTCTTGTCTGTCCGTCAGTCCGGAAAATCAGTTTTCCACACTTTTTTTAGCTCACCTGACCTGAAAGGTCAAGTGAGCTTTTCTCATCACTTTGCGTCCGTCGTCCGTCGTCCTGCGTCCGTCGTCCGTCGTCCGTCGTCCGTCGTCCGTAAACTTTTACAAAAATCTTCTCCTCTGAAACTACTGGGCCAAATTTAACCAAACTTGGCCACAATCATCATTGGGGTATCTAGTTTTAAAAATGTGTGGCGTGACCCTGTCAACCAACCAAGATGGCCGCCACGGCTAAAAATAGAACATAGGGGTAAAATGCAGTTTTTAGCTTATAACTCAAAAACCAAAGCATTAAGAGCAAATCTGACATGGGGTAAAATTGTTCATCAGGTCAAGATCTATCTGCCCTGAAATTTTCAGATGAATCGGACAACCCGTTATTGGGTTGCTGCCCCTGAATTGGTAATTTTAAGGAAATTTTGCTGTTTTTGGTTATTATCTTGAATATTATTATAGATAGAGATAAACTGTAAACAGCAATAATGTTCAGCAAAGTAAGATTTACAAATAAGTCAATATAACCGAAATGGTCAGTTGACCCCTTTAGGAGAAATTGCCCTTTATAGTCAATTTTTAACCATTTTTCGTAAATCTTAGTAATCTTTTACAAAAATCTTCTCCTCTGAAACAACTGGGCCAAATTAAACCAAACTTGGCCACAATCATCATTGGGGTATCTAGTTTAAAAAATGTGTGGCGTGACCCAGCTAACCAACCAAGATGGCCGCCACAGGTAAAAATAAAACATAGGGGTAAAATGCAGTTTTTGGCTTATAACTCAAAAACCAAAGCATTTAGAGCAAATCTGACAGAAGTAAAATTGTTTATCAGGTCAAGATCTATCTGCCCTGAAATTTTCAGATGAATCGAACAACCTGTTGTTGGGTTGCTGCCCCTGAATTGGTAATTTTAAGGAAATTTTGCTGTTTTTGGTTATTATCTTGAATATTATTATAGATAGAGATAAACTGTAAACAGCAATAATGTTCAGCAAAGTAAGATTAACAAATAAGTCAACATGACTGAAATGGTCAGTTGACCCCTTTAGGAGTTATAGCCCTTTATAGTCAATTTTTAACAATTTTTCGTAAATCTTAGTAATCTTTTACAAAAATCTTCTCCTCTGAAACTACTGGGCCAAATTTAACCAAACTTGGCCACAATCATCATTGGGGTATCTAGTTTTAAAAATGTGTGGCGTGACCCTGTCAACCAACCAAGATGGCCGCCACGGCTAAAAATAGAACATAGGGGTAAAATGCAGTTTTTAGCTTACAACTCAAAAACCAAAGCATTAAGAGCAAATCTGACATGGGGTAAAATTGTTCATCAGGTCAAGATCTATCTGCCCTGAAATTTTCAGATGAATCGGACAACCCGTTATTGGGTTGCTGCCCCTGAATTGGTAATTTTAAGGAAATTTTGCTGTTTTTGGTTATTATCTTGAATATTATTATAGATAGAGATAAACTGTAAACAGCAATAATGTTCAGCAAAGTAAGATTTACAAATAAGTCAATATAACCGAAATGGTCAGTTGACCCCTTTAGGAGAAATTGCCCTTTATAGTCAATTTTTAACCATTTTTCGTAAATCTTAGTAATCTTTTACAAAAATCTTCTCCTCTGAAACAACTGGGCCAAATTAAACCAAACTTGGCCACAATCATCATTGGGGTATCTAGTTTAAAAAATGTGTGGCGTGACCCAGCTAACCAACCAAGATGGCCGCCACAGGTAAAAATAAAACATAGGGGTAAAATGCAGTTTTTGGCTTATAACTCAAAAACCAAAGCATTTAGAGCAAATCTGACATGAAGTAAAATTGTTTATCAGGTCAAGATCTATCTGCCCTGAAATTTTCAGATGAATCGAACAACCTGTTGTTGGGTTGCTGCCCCTGAATTGGTAATTTTAAGGAAATTTTGCTGTTTTTGGTTATTATCTTGAATATTATTATAGATAGAGATAAACTGTAAACAGCAATAATGTTCAGCAAAGTAAGATTAACAAATAAGTCAACATGACTGAAATGGTCAGTTGACCCCTTTAGGAGTTATTGCCCTTTATAGTCAATTTTTAACAATTTTTCGTAAATCTTAGTAATCTTTTACAAAAATCTTCTCCTCTGAAACTACTGGGCCAAATTTAACCAAACTTGGCCACAATCATCATTGGGGTATCTAGTTTTAAAAATGTGTGGAGTGACCTGGTCAACCAACCAAGATGGCCGCCACGGCTAAAAATAGAACATAGGGGTAAAATTCAGTTTTTGGCTTTTAACTCAAAAACCAAAGCATTTAAAGCAAATCTGACATGGGGTAAAATTGTTCATCTGGTCAAGATCTATCTGCCCTGAAATTTTCAGATGAATCGGACAACCCGTTATTGGGTTGCTGCCCCTGAATTGGTAATTTTAAGGAAATTTTGCTGTTTTTGGTTATTATCTTGAATATTATTATAGATAGAGATAAACTGTAAACAGCAATAATGTTCAGCAAAGTAAGATTTACAAATAAGTCAATATAACCGAAATGGTCAGTTGACCCCTTTAGGAGTAATTGCCCTTTATAGTCAATTTTTAACCATTTTTCGTAAATCTTAGTAATCTTTTACAAAAATCTTCTCCTCTGAAACAACTGGGCCAAATTAAACCAAACTTGGCCACAATCATCATTTGGTTATTTAGTTTTAAAAATGTGTGGCGTGACCTGGTCAACCAACCAAGATGGCCGCCACGGCTAAAAATAGAACATAGGGGTAAAATTCAGTTTTTGGCTTTTAACTCAAAAACCAAAGCATTTAAAGCAAATCTGACATGAAGTAAAATTGTTTATCAGGTCAAGATCTATCTGCCCTGAAATTTTCAGATGAATCGGACAACCCGTTGTTGGGTTGCTGCCCCTGAATTGGTAATTTTAAGGTAATTTTGCTGTTTTTGGTTATTATCTTGAATATTATTATAGATAGAGATAAACTGTAAAAAACGATAAATGTCGGCAAAGTAAGATCTACAAATAAGTCAACATGACCGAAATTGTCAGTTGACCCCTTTAGGAGTTATTGCCCTTTATAGTCAATTTTAACCATTTTTTCGTAAATCTTAGTAATCTTTTACAAAAATCTTCTCCTCTGAAACTACTGGGCCAAGTTAATTATAGATAGAGATAATTGTAAGCAGGAAAAATGTTCAGTAAATTAAGATGTACAAACACATCACCATCACCAAAACACAATTTTGTCATGAATCCATCTGCGTCCTTTGTTTAATATTCACATAGACCAAGGTGAGCGACACAGGCTCTTTAGAGCCTCTAGTTTCTTCATGCTTGAAGATATTGATTTGATAATTGGTGTATAGTCTTATCATGATAAGTTACAGATCAAGTTCAAATTTTGTTCCGGTCTGATGATTTTGTGCAGAGTTATGGTCATTGGACTTAGAAATTTCACTCAAATTATCAGTTTTCCACACTTTTTTTTCGTCATGCTTGAAGATATTGACTTGATATTTGTTATATAGTTTACACCATGACAAGTTATAGATCAAGTTAGCATTTTGTTCCAGTACAATGAATTTTTAACTGGTAGGGGACTATGTATTGCCATGCAATACTCTCAGAATGCTTGTTCATATAGCAAATTAGAATAGAATTAGGATAGAAAATTTATGGTATTGATTTTATTTCAATAGATTTAATTATCACTTAAATGGACATGTCTTGCTTCAGAACGTTTTCATACCATCTTAAAGGCTATAAAAAAATGTTTACTAAGTTTTTGATTTGAGGCAGTACAATAAGTTGTTTGTCTTTTAGGAAGAACTGAAAACTTTGGTCACAACAGAGCATGCAAAGATAGATGCTGCAAATCCTGATAAATGTACAACATCTGCAAAGAAAGCAGACTGCACATCAAAGGAAGCTGATGCTACACCAAAGAAAGCTGACACTACACCAAAGAAAACTGAAAATACACCAAAGAAATCTGAGACTCCAAAAACATCAGATAAAACTCCCCCAAAACCAGAAGCAGCTACTCCAAAGGCAACTCCTGGAAGCCAGTCAAAGAAGACACCTCCCAAAAAGGGAAACGGCAACTCCACAAAATGAATCCATGCAGTAAATTGCAGTTTGAAGGCAAACCAACAAACAGTCATTCCTCTGAAGAAAATATATCTTTTCCCAGTCCATGCTGGTAATTTACATTTCAGACTTTTCCAAAAACATCATATTGACTGTGTAAGAATATATGATAGTTGTCCTCCCTCCTGATTTACAGCAGAAGTCGCAAAGTGATATTCCCTCTGTCTATATGTAGCACTTTAGGCACTCTACATCTATGAGACCATATGTCATATATCTGAATATACTACTGTGGATTCATTATTATGCATGGATACCAATTCTCCTGGGTATAGGGAAAACACAAATTTGAATCCCGACAAAGTACAAAATTTCGTTTTTGCCGAACCACGAAATCAATCCACAATAAGTATTTTTCCTCGATCTACGAAAAATAAATGAATCCACAGTTTACTATCATTTTTATTTGATGATCTTTGCTCTAGTTATTGGATTTTTTTTGTATTATAAATCTATAACTTCAATTGTGTATTATTGCATGCAAGCACCTCATGAACTATTTTGATATTATGACATGTGTAATGAGTTTGGTGATTTATATTCTGGTCAGGAATACAATGTACTACAACTATCATTCAGTTTATAAAGATATATTAATGTTTCATTGTGCTTAAATGTTGGTCATTGTTTTGCAAGCTACTTTAATATGAGACTGCTATAAATTCAGGAATGTCTGCTTGCATTTATGTATTTACATCGTTTGTTGAACAATGGACAAAAATGTAAGAAACATTGTTATGAATTCAGGAAATGCTGCATTCAAATAATGCTATCAAAATTCAAATTGGGAGTTGTTTTTTTTTTGGCAATTTTCACCATTAATAAAAAGCAAAAAATTTCTGAATTTACCGCATTATATTACATTATATGAAATAGAATAGCAATCATGTCTTATGTGCTGTGAATATGTCTTCAAATCTTATAGTCTATTTAAAACTTAAAGCCAAATAAAAATCTTGAGACCAATTTGAAAGTTTACAGAAATGGTAGGGAAGTTTTGATTTTTGACTGCCTGTCTGATCCAAACAAAATAGCATGGGCATTTATATTCTGTAAAAAATTAAGAACCAAACATGAATGCTGCTACTGTGGCTACAATTTAAAAAAGAATCATACTCAAATGAAATTAAATTATATATTGCAGACTCTTTGAGGTGTTATTGTCATATATTGGTATTTTAAGTTTTGCAATAGTTTGTATTAATTGACAACCCTGCATACCAGGATATCCACTTCAGGAGACTCTAGTGAAAATAAACACAACGGCGTTGGTTCACTACATAGAGTTATAAAAATTAGAGATTAGTTCTATTTTTCTTGTTATTCATATTTATGTATAATAAGTGTTTGTTTTGTTGTTTGTATGAAAGTATTACAACTGTTATGAAATTGCATGACTGTGATAAAAAAATATTTTTTGCTTTACTAATATTTTCTATTTTTTTGTTCCATTTTAATTATGTTAATTTTTTATACGACCGCAAAAAAAATTTTGTGGTCGTATATTGGTATGATGTTGGCGTCGTCGTCGTCTGGCGTCGTCCGGTGTCGTCCGAAGACACATTGGTTTTCGCACTCTAACTTTAGTTTAAGTGAATGGATCTCTATGAAATTTTACCACAAGGTTCAATACCACAAAAGGAAGGTTGGGATTGATTTTGGGGGTTATGGTACCAACAGTAAAGGAATTAGGGGCCAAAAAGGGGCCAAAAATAAGCATTTTTGTAACTTCCAGACATAACTTGTGTGTTAGTGTATGGATCTCTCTGACATTGTACCACAAGGTTCCATATCACAAAAGGAATGCTGGGATTGATTTTGGGGGTAATTGCCTCAAAATTTTAGGAATTAGGGGCCAAAAAAGGGGCAAAAAACAAGCATTTTTCTAGTTTCATGACAATAACTTGTGTGTAAGTGTATGATTCTTTCTGAAATTGTACTACAAGGTTCCATATCACAAAGGGACAGCTGGAATTGAGTTTGGGGGTAATTGCCAAAAGGTTTAGGAATTGGGGGCCAAAAAGGGGCCAAAAATAAGCATTTTTCTAGTTTCCAGACAATAACTTGTGTTCAAGTGTATGGATCTCTCTGAAATTGTACTGCAAGGTACCATACCACAAAGGGAAGGCTGGGATTGATGATGGGGGTAATTGCCTCAATATTTTAAGAATTAGGGGCCAAAAAGGGGCAAAAAACAAGCATTTTTCTAGTTTCAGGACAATAACTTGTGTGTAAGTGTATGGATCTTTCTGAAATTGTACTACAAGGTTCCATATCACAAAGGGGAAGCTGGGTTTGAATTTGGGGGCAAAAAGGGGCCAAAAAACACATTTTTCTAGTTTCCAGACAATTACTTATGTTCAAGTGTATGGATCTCTCTGAAATTGTACTGCAAGGTACCATACCACAAAGGGAAGGCTGGGATTGAGTTTGGGGGTGATGAATCATAAGGGGTTCAAAAAATTTGGGGGGGGGGGGGTTTCCTTTTTTTTATCTTTTAAAATTTTCCATTTTAAGTTGGTTATTTCTGATTTATATTTAAAAGCAAATAATAATGATATGGTAGGAGATACACACCAAACAGGATGTGTAAATTATTATATAATAAGTATAATAAGTATTGTGCAATAGCAAGAAATTTTCAATTGCACAGTATTGCACAATAGCAAGAAATCTTCAATTGCACAGTATTGCGCAATAGCAAGAAATCTTCAATTGCACAGTATTGCGCAATAGTAAGAAATATCCAATAGCACAATATTGCGCAATAGCAAGAAATTGTCAATTGTACAGTATTGCGCAATAGCAAGAAATATTTAATTGCACAGTATTGTGCAAAAGAAGATACTTCGTATAAATTGCTTATTTCTTGACCAATTTCAATGGGGTTTTATTCTTGAATTCTTGGGGTTCTTTAATATGCTGAATCTAACCTTGTATTTAGTTTTTAGATTTTGGGCCCCGTTTTTAAATTGGTTCACATTGAGGTCCAAAGGGTCCAAAATTAAACTTTGTTTGATTTCATCAAAAATTGAATTATTGGGGTTCTTTGATATGCCGAATCTAACCGTGTATTTAGATTCTTAATTTTTGGTTCCGTTTTCAAATTGGTCTACATTAAGGTCCAAAAGGTCCAAAATTAAACTGAGTTTGATTTTAACAAAAATTGAATTCTTAGGGTTCTTTGATATTCTGAATCTAAACATGTATTTAGATTTTTGATTATGGGCCCAGATTTCAAGTTGGTCCAAATCGGGGTCCAAAATTAAACTTTGTTTGATTTCAACAAAAATTTAATATATGGGGTTCTTTGATATGCTGAATCTAACCATGTATTTAGATTTTTGATTTTTGGGCCCCGTTATCAACTTTGTCCACATTGAGGTCAAAAGGGTCCAAAATTAAACTTTGTTTGATTTCATCAAAAATTGAATTCTTGGGGTTCTTTGATATGCTGAATCTAACCATGTATTTAGATTTTGGATATTGGACCATAATAAGTGAATGTCCAATTTAAAATTTTTAAGTTCTTAGACCACATTCATTGTGTGTCAGAAACCTATGCTGTGTCAAATATTTAATCACAATCCAAATGCAAAGCTGTATCAAGCTTGAATGTTGTGTCCATACTTGCCACAACTGTTCAGGGTTCGACCTCTGCGGTCTTATCAAGCTGTGCCCTGCAGAGCATTTTATTGCAATATAAATAGAAATTTTATTCATTTGAGAAGTCTAAATGCTGTGATTGATTGTTTGTGTTTTTTTTTTATATCATCCAATGGAAACATACTTTGAATTTATTTTATAAAGGAAAATGTTGAAAATGTTACAAAACAAATGTTCAAATTATGATATTAAGTGATAATCATGAAAAAGGAGCACAGTGCATCCTGTTTATGCTAGACCTTGCCTGAACTGAAATCCTGTCCCTGCCTTAACTGAAAACCTCCCTATACTGAATCTTACCTCAACTGAAAACCTGTCTATAATGAACCCTGCATGTCAGTTTATACAAGTTTCGCTGTATATAGTCAGTGTAAAATTGCAATCTTCTACATTTGCTTACTTTTGTTAGTTATTTGTTTTATCAGCTAATGTTCTTAGTAACCACCAAGTTCAGCACTCATGTAATTTCTGAGAGACATCTTTCTGTGTCCACATTTGTTAACTTTTGTTAGTTATTGGTTTTACCAGCTGATGTTCATTTTCTTAGTAACCACCAAGTTAAGGACTCGTGTACATTCTTAGAGATATCTTTCAGTGTCCACATTTAAAAAAAAACTTCAAGTTTTGACTTATTTTTTCAGCAATCATGTACCATATACCCTTAGAACTATGTATAATTAAACCATTTTTTGTTTGTTACTGTGAAAGTACTTTTATTCATGGGTACTGTAAACAGGGAAATTTTCGCGGCAGTTTTATTTTCGCTATTTTCGCGGTAAGGACTGAAACGCCAAAATAAAGGACCGCGAAAATTTCAAGGATAATTTTTTCATAAGATGAAGACAATCCATGTACGTATATGACAAGGATATGTACAGGACCACTGTATGACATCGATTTTTACAGATGACAGATCTATTCCTCAAATCATAACTGTATTTCTAAATGAAAAGCAATGTTATAAATCATGACTTTAACTCAAGTTAATATTCTTAACATGGAAGACATCTTAAGCAAGCGGACATTACGGGATATTGTTAGGTATACAACGCTCGTTACAAATATGTAAATGACACCTGTCAATCAATTTAAAAAGTATTACCTCATTGAATCTGCTACACAGATAAATCAGATCAAAAGATCGGTTAATTGGCATTAATCCTAACAACATTTAATTCACTCTAAATTATGTTTCTTTTCTGTTTATTTTGTATGTGTTTTTACAAGCAAACATGACACAACTTATAATCTTAAACATTAATGAACCGAAAACAAAAGATTTCTGATTGATTTTATTACTTGATTTACGGTACATGTGCAGCTGCTCACATTCTAAATCATTAATGAAAATATTTATATAGACCACTGGGATATCGCGAATTCAAAACGGCGCGAATTTAGATTGTGTTAATAAATCGCGCAATAAAGACGGCGCGAAAATTTCCCGGTTTACAGTATCAATTTTCGTGGTTTGAGCAAAAGTTACATGTTCATGGATTTTAGTTTTCTGAAAAAAATAGAGTGAAGAATTTGAAGCCATCAGAAACGAAGATTCCTCAAAATAATCATATGTTGCTTTATAATGATTTTGGGACATTGCAAAATAAGGTGTTCATTATCATTTACTTGTTTGACTTTCATTACTGACAACATTCATCAAATTTTTAATAAAACAATTGCATTTGGAAATAAGCTGATTAATCCATGCTTACAAATAGTCTCAATTGTAGGAATAATCAAAGAAAACATTTTAATTGTTG